AAGCAACACAATCATTTTCAACCAAAAATAAAAATAATCAGAAATGTTTCTTGAGCAGCAAGTCGGCATATTAAAAAGATTTCTAAAGATCATGTGACACTGAAGACTGGAGTAATAATGCTGAAAATTATGCTGAAAAAATGTAATAATACAGTATAATAATAATTAAAATAATAATCAAAGTTATATCATATAATATGTCATAAATAATATTTGATTTTTGCTAATTATTTAATAGAGTCAGTGTGGTGTAACCTATTTTGTTGTCATGTGACAAACCCAAAAAAGATCATAATTTGCTTTTTTTATTTTTTTACACAAACATCCTCATCGCGTCACTGACACATGACACTGAGACTGATGTTCTCTACTGAATCCCTTCCCCTCTGGTTAACCTCTGTCCAGCTGTGCAGATTCAGTCAAAGCCCTGACACAGACTGTAGGTGTAAAAGCTGTTCATAGCATCTTTTTTTAATGCATAATCTACACAGATTCACATTCCCATGTTCATTCTGTAGCTCAAGATGCTTCACCACTTCATCATCTGTGATCTGATGATCTCGTCATATTCAGGGACCTCATCTAACAAAAGCCACATGGAGATAATAAATCACATCCCATTAGTGCTGGAATCATGAGATCAACTGAGAGACTAAGGATATAACCATGTTTGTAGGTATAGTGAGAAGCATCGATGGCCTCCTTAACTTCTCTCTGACACGCTCTATGCTCTCTGTCTAAAATCTTCATTTGACTGTCCTTGAGCGTGTGCTCCTTGTCCTTTAGATGCAGATGCACTGCTGTGATTTGTCCGGAGGGCTCTGCCCCTCTGTGTTGTGACATGCGCTCACACTGTGGTGGTTTGTTTTGCTGATGTACAGCTTTGGACGTTCCTCATCGCAGAACTGCATGGATGATGGTACTCTGTGTTTGTCCTCTGTTTAGCCCGTTTGAAGTCTATGTTGTGTTTGTTGAAGGTCCTGTATAGTTCCTCAAATCATCAAGTAATCTAGGAAAGGACTATGTTGTTTTGTTGATTTTGCTTTTCGGCATCTTATCTTGAACTGTTTGGTGGTTTTGATGAAGTTGAAAATGTTTCTGTGAATCAAATCCAGTTGAACCAGAATGAATCTAGAACAGGGGATCAAAATTGACAATTCAAGATGTAAACGTATTTTTTTTTAGCTATGTCAAAGTTACATTATAGTTATTGTAAGATATTGCATACATACGTTTAGCATGGAATTGTTTAAAACATTTACACTGTTTTATGTCTAAAGACTGTACAGAAATCAATAAATGAATCGCAATTATTTTCTTATTGATGCCATAGTTTAGAAATCACTGCAATAATCACAATTGAAACAGTAAGAAATATATAGGGCTGTCAAACGATTAATCACGATTAATCGCATCCAAAATAAAGTTTTTGTTTACATAATATATGTGTGTGTACTGTGTATATTTATTATGTATATATAAATACATACACATGCATGTATATATTTAAGAAAAATATGTTATGTTTATATATTAAATATATTTATATCTAATATAAATTATATAAATATAAATATATACATGTAAAGACATGTAAATATTTTCAAAATATATACTGCATGTGTGTGTATTTATATATACATAATAAATATACAGAGTACACACACATATATTATGTAAACAAAAACTTTTATTTTGGATGCGATTAATCGTGATTAATTGTTTGACAGCACTTATATATATATATATATATACACACACACACACACACATAGTAACTAGTTACAGTAATAATATTACTTTTTGCAGTAACTAGTAGTGTCATTACTAATTACAAATACGATTTCAGTAATAATATTACAGTTACCATCCATAAAACAGCTTATTGCTTAGTTACTTTTGATGCCTCAACCCCTACTTGAAGTCCAACACTCCAATAATTCCTAGATTTACTTTCATAATGTTCATACTTTTATGAGTTGCGCAGACACATGCATGGAATATGGAAACGTTTACATTCAGCGGATGGAAATGTTGCCAATAAATAAATTACAGTAAATGATATCTATACATTTTTAAAATGAAAACGCTAACATATATATTTGGGCATTATGTTATGGTCCCTGGCTTGAAATCCCTGTACTAGAACATTCTGGATAGCAGAATCTTCACAGACACACTTATGGCTTTTAGACTGAGTGAAAAAATCTGGATGATACACAGCCGTAAGACCATTTTAGTTTATATTAAAGCCTCTTCCATAGACATACATCATGTTGACTGTAAATGAATTAAACTGAACTGAGTACTCCCTACCGTAGCATACAGGTAAAAAATAAAAATGCTGAGAACCCATTTCTCAAGTTCATTCTCCCATCAGAGCGCTAGGGAGTGCATGTAAATGTTGTGCATCACAAGCCATAATTCTTAATTTTTAAGTCGATATCAAGTCACAGAAAAAGCAGCGCTTCCCGGAGATTGCTCTGAGCAAACACACATACAGTGCCTCATATATTATGAACTGGACACATCGTGCGGATGAGGATGTCAGACGTGCTGAGCATCACATCCATTCATTCGGAGCCGTCCTGTGACGCCTGACACGTCCCGATCTTCTGTTGTAGACGGGTCGTATAGTGCAGATTTTTTTTTTCTTCTGAAAAGTCATTTAATGGGGTGGGGAGCGGTGCGATGGCAGCTGCATGCTGGGAGAGCAGACACAGGGCTTTTCACACCACCTGGGCCGGGCAGAGAGACTGAGCCGTGCAAAGCCTGAATAGAGGAAGTGCAAAGAGAAGTTCAAGCATTCTGCAGTAGAGGAGTTGCCAAAAAAATTTGACTTTGTTGCATTCGTGCCTGTGTTCACCGCCTGCGATAAGGCTTTCGAGAGGCGGCAGCACGTGATCTCGGCCCTGAATGAATGCATTTGCATAATCCGCAGTGAATTACTCTGACTATCACCTTTAAAAATCTGCATTTTTTAAATGCATGTTTATATCTGGAAAAAACACTGTCAGAAAAGTGGGTCTTTTCAACAACCGCGACACAAAAAAAGTTTAAAAAAAACTTTTGAAAGTTAATTACAGCACACAAATGCATTTAAATTTGTCTTTCGTATAATGATGTTTAAGGTACATTTAATTAATATTGTTGCCGCTCATTAATATTTTCTATGTTTTCTGGTCCCTATACAGGAACTAAGTTAATCCTTTTAGCAAACCACATGCAAACCAATTTAGACCTTTCAGTCTATCAACTCACTGTTCATTATGGAGGAAATGTGAATATGGTTTATTTACAAAATCCAGGGGAGCTAGTTTACATGATGTTTGATATCTGAATGATGTTCTTAAATTGTAATAATTATGCATATTAAAAATACCAACAACATTTAAGGGCATTTGTTATTTAAGGACACATTTTAAAATAATTTTTTTAGTAAACAAACTTCTTCTAATCAGTAAAGTACGGAGCCCGGGAAGTCACCTGTAGGAGAAAAAAAAACAATCCGTGGCGACAGTTTTGCAATCCGTCCCCTCAGTTTATAAACCGTACTCACGAATTCTTAAACTGTTCCCTCGGTTTAACAAATCGTGCCCACGGATTAATAAACCGTACTCACAAATTTCCAATCCGTGCGCTCAGATTTTGTAAACCATGCCTTCGGATTTTGAATCCGTACCCACAAATTCATAATCCGTGTGCACGCTTTCGCAATCCGTTCCCTCGGGTTTGTAAACTGTACTCACGGATTCATGCAGTAAGCTCCTAGGTAGCCTACATGTTAACGAATCATATTGTATATTGTTTTATTGCATATTATTATGTG